GATAACTATAGGTAGACTCATTTCTGCACTCATTTGGCGATTAATCGGGAGAGTAGTTTACGACAAACATTGTGTGTACGAAAGAACATTTTCTCAAAGTTTTGAGAAAGATTAATAGTTAGCTAACGTGTAAAAATTAAAACTAATTAGTACTCCACCAAAAATGCACCTGTATTGTTGCATATAAGTAACTACATTAACTATACACCAGCTAAATACTTCAGAGCAGCACCACTCAACGCGATGATTATCTAGCTAACTATCACTCAGAAGTGGTGAAGAGATGAATGCACTATCCTTAAGGAATGTATAGTTCACACAACAGCATTTTTATCAAGTTTTGTTTGGTAAAGGTACTAGAAGTGACCAAAAGCTAGCTTTGAACAAAAACTTATTCATGTAGCCCATAAACATTATATTTCGAATTATTCAACAATCTACTAGAACAGACTGAAAGCTGATTGTTTATGCCTGGAGTCCCTCTGGAGGCTACTGCCGGTCCCAAGCCCGGATAAAGGAGGAGGGTTGGGCATGGGGCTAGCGTCCCCATCCCGTGGAAAACTAACTCGCTAAAAAGCGCTAACCAGAAGAAATTATTCGAACCTTTCGAACTCTGCCCTGGGAGTCAGAAGGTCTTCATTTAGAAGAACTATGACGCCTCATGATGAAAGCCGAATTCCTTCGGAAGTTACGAGGCCGATGCCCCTCCTGACAACCAGAGCATCCATTTATTTACGTACATGGAATGTTCGTACAATGTGTGACACCGGGAGAGCCTTCCAAATGAGGAGTTACAACCTAGAGGTACTTGGGATCAGTGAAACACATTGGACGCAAGTTGGACAACAACGACTAACTTCAGGAGAGCTTCTGTTATACTCCGGCCATGAAGAAGAAAATGCCCCACATACACAAGGAGTTGCATTGATGCTGTCCAAACAAGCACAAAAGACACTTATAGGATGGGAATCTCAAAAGGAAGGCATTTCAATGAATATCATCCAATGCTATGCGCCTACCAACGAATACAATGAAGACGTTAAGATCAATTCTACAATAGGCTGCAGTCAATCGTCGAGAAGTGCCAAACAAAGGACCTGACCATCCTGATGGGAGATTTAAATGCCAAGGTTGGAATGGACAACACTCGATATGAAGACATCATGGGACGACATGGACTGGGAGAAAGAAACGAAAGTGATGAGAGATTTACAAGCCGATGTGCCTTCAATAAACTGGTCATAGGTGGCACCATATTCCCACATAAACGCATTCACGAAACCACATGGACTTCACCGGATCACACCACGCAAAACCAAATCGACCATATTTGCATCAACAAAACGTTCAGGAGGACTATAGAGGACGTGAGAATCAAGAGAGGAGCTGATATAGCATCAGATCATCACTTGCTCGTCGCCAAGATGAAATTGAAACTCAAGAAGCACTGGACAATGGGGCGGACAATATCACAAAAGTTCAATACGGCCTTTCTTCAGGATACTAACAAACTCAACAAATTCAAGATAGTCCTCAGCAACAATTTCCAGGCCTTTCATGATCTACTCAATGGTGAAGGAACTACTGTGGAGAGCAACTGGAAGGGGATCAAAGAGGCAATCACTTCAACATGTCATGAAGTCCTTGGTCACAAGAAGCACCATCACAAGGAATGGATCACTGTTGATACACTGGATAAGATTCAAGAAAAAAGGAACAAGAAAGCATCAATCAATACCAGTTAAATAAGAGCAGAAAAAGCCAAGGCACAAGCTGAATACACAGAAGTAAACAAACAAGTGAAGAGGAGTATCAGAACCGACAAACGTAAATGTGGAAGATCTAGCAAAGACGGCGGAAAAGGCTGAAAGAGAAAGGAACATGAGACAACTGTATGACGTAACAGAGAAACTCTCTGGAAATCGCCGCAAATCAGAACGACCAGTGAAAAGCAAGGAAGGCGAGGTAATCACCAACATTGAAGAACAACGAAACAGGTGGGTAGAACACTTCAAAGAACTCTTGAATCGACCGGCCTCAATGAACCCACCCAACATCGAAGCAGCACCCACGGACCTCCCAACAATGTTGGCCCACCAACAACTGAAGAAATCAGCATGGCCATCAGACGAATCAACAGTGGCGAAGCAGCAAGACCAGACAACATTCCAGCAGAGGCACTAAAAGCAGATGTAACGGTAACTGAAAGGATACTCCACATTCTTTTCAATAAGATTTGGGATGAGGAACAAGTACCAACAGACTGGAAAGAAGGACTTCTGATCAAAATACCAATGTGATAACTACAGGGGCATCACTATTCTCTCAACACCAGGAAAAGTCTTCAACAGGGTATTGTTAAACAAGATGAAGGACTGAGTAGACGCTCAACTTCGTGACCAACAGGCAGGATTGCGTAAGGATAGATCGTGTACAGAACAAATCGCAACTCTACGGATCATTGTGGAACAATCAACTGAATGAAATTCATCACAATATATCAGCCTTATTGACTACGAAAAGGCATTTGATAGCATGGACAAAACAACAATATGGAAGCTTCTCCGACACTACGACGTGCCTCAGAAGATAGTCAATATCATACAGATTTCATATGATGGATTACATTGCAAAATTGTGCATGGAGGACAGTTGGCAAAGTCGTTCGAAATAAAGACTGGTGTCAGGCACGTTCGCTTACTCTCACTCATTCTCTTTCTCCTGGTGGTCGACTGGATCATGAAGACATCAACATCTGAAGGGAAGCACGGGATACAGTGGACATCCAGGATGCAGTTGGACGATCTAGACTTCGCAGATGATCTGGCTCTTCTATCGCAAACGCAACAACAAATGCAGGAGAAGACGAAAAGTGTAGCAGCAGCCTCAGCAGCAGTAGGTCTCAATATACACAAAGGGAAAAGCAGGATTCTCCGATACAACAAAGCATGCACCAATCCAGTCACACCTGACGGAGAAGATTTGGAAGATGCAAAAACCTTTACATATCTGGACAGCATCATCGATGAACATGGTGGATCTGATGCACCTATGAAAGCACGGATCGGCAAAGCAAAAGCAGTATATTTACAACTGAGGAACATCTGCAACTCAAAATAACTGTCAACCAACACCAAGGTCAGAATTTTCAATACAAATGTCAACAGTGTTCTACTGTATGGACCGGAAACCTGGAGAACTACGAAAGCCATCATCCAGAAAATACAGGTTTTTGTTAACAGTTGTCTACGCAAAATACTTCAGATCCGTTGGCCGGACACTATTAGCAACAACGTACTGCGGGAGAGAATAAACCAGATTGCAGCCGAGGAAAAAATTAGGAAGAAGTGCTGGAAGTAGATAGGACACATATTGAGAAAAGCACTCAACTGCATCACAAGACAAGCCCTCACATAAAATCTTCAAGGCCAAAGGAAAAGAGGAAGACCAAAGAACACATTACGCTGGGAAATGGAAATAGACATGAGAAAAATGGACGAGAATTGGATGTAACTAGAAAAGAAGGAGGACGACAGAGTAGGTTGGAGAATACTGGTCTGCGGCCTATGCTCCGTCAGGAGTAACAGGCGTAAGTAAGTAAGTAAGTAAGTAAGATTGTTTATGAAGAAAAATCAAATATTGTATGGCTAATTTCATTTACAACATTTAGCTGTTAAAATGATCAAAACATTATCTTAAAACAACACGTCATAATAAAGAAAGGTTTTGGTATTCTTTCAATTATTTACTTTATAAGATCCTATATGTACATTTACTTCTTGTAACTGGAAAATCATAAATGACCACTGAATTTTGCTGGCCCATCAAAGTAAATATCGGAGACTCGCCCAAGGTAATGCTTTTAGTTTTATGTGAATAAGCCTTGACATTATATTCAGGGTGTTTTTTGAGCCATTTTTCAATTTAGAAAGACCTGATACATTCTTTATTGTCCTTAATGTTTTTTGCTATAGATAGTGGGCAGAAATATTTCAGGGTATGGGTGTGTGGACACGAAACGATTAATTATGGAAAATTATTTCTGCATAATTTCATTGTTGAAAATATCTTAGAAGAATTAATGAGACGAAATTCAAGTACGTATTCACCAAAACATATTTATTGACAGTGAATTGCCATAATATATAAGTTTTTTTCAGTTTTACACTGATGGTACCATCAGGTTACGAAATCATCAGTTGTTAAATGTTCGTAGGCTATCAATCAATCTAGTATCTGGTTGGTAGCTTAACATAAATTAGCCAAATGTTCCCTGTGCTGTGTAGGTAACTTTTTTCATTGTGACTTGGTTGACGGTAATTTTGTTTATATGTTTAAGAAACGCTTAACCACCTTCGTCTTTTCCACGAAGTCATAATTATATTTCGTAAATAGTGAGAAGGTAATACAGGTAAAGAACACTCTAAAACTACTAACTTTGTGGAATTTCAATGTTGGTGCCAGCTTTTTTAGTCTTAGCTTACGAAACAGACTAGAGTCCTTTGTCAAAGCAGAGTAACCATATATTAATATATCACACGTATGAAGCACGTCATTCTCTAAATTGTTAAATAGATTCAAGACTCCCTATCTTCACCTATACATTCAAAACTATATATTAATTGGCCTTCGAATGTAGTCGATAGCTCACAATGGGCTTGGCTTTCACGCTATTAGTTACTCTGAAGTTGAGTGTACAAGTAATTTTGGGGGGACTAGTGTTTATCGTAGGTTCAAACCCATTTCACACAAATTCGCAGAAAGATAAATTAAGAATGAGCCATTCATTCTACGAATGCATTTTGTCTCTGTTCGTCGTTCTGCATCTCAACATAATTCACACGGTTTTGAGCCACTCAGGTCAGTGACCACATACTAAATAAGTACCTGTATTACCAGTCAGCTTAGGCTAAATTCTGGTCCATTAGGGACTAAAATTCGATTAAATAATCAAATAAGATTATATAAAATTAGATTTATGATAAATAAACACATATTACTTGGCCCATCTTGTATAAACCCATTCTTTGGATGTAGAATCTGAACCATCATCACCCGAAAAGTCTATACCAACAATATTTCCTTGAGTATCACGGGAATGACTAGCCTTCCTCTCTGAAAGGAACATTTTGCCGTCTTAAGACAAGTAGGCGCCTTTTGTTGTTGTATTATATAAGGAAATTTAGTTTGTTTTCTGAGTACGCAGTAACAGCGTAACAATAAAAATAATTGCAGGACTCAAGGACAACGTGAATTCATAGTTCAATTTACAAAATAGTAGTCACGACAAAGTCTCCAAACTTCGCTTAGAATGTATTTGAATAACAGTCGCATTTCACTACATTCTGGATGAAAAGCTTTAAAATTATAAAAATAATAATCTTCATCTGATAGATTCAAGATGCTACTTTTAGTCAAACCAGTTTGTGAGCCGGTTGTTGCTTCTGATAAAGAGACACTCATAGAAGCACAAGAAAACTAATGTGACGCGAAATTCGCTTGAATGTTTGTTTCTGATGTCCTTTTTTGTATATTTTGGTATAAAACTCAAAAGCGTATAGATGTCACTGATATTCAAGTCTTGAAAACTATTTAGTCAGTAATAAGCTTGTGAACCATACAGCCAGATCATAAGTCGGGAACGAGGAATTCTGAGAAAATATTTGAAAGATAGTCATCATGTCAGAGAGTGTTTAATTTGAACTGGCTAGCTGTCGTGAGGAGTGCGTTGCAAGACATACTATATGGTGTTTTGGTGTAGATGCAGTGCCAAGCTACTTCAGCTACTTTGCACTGAATAAGACTGAGGAGGTCGACATCGAGTGCGAAGACTTGCAGGACTATTTATTTTTGGGATTCAGTGTCTTTTACATAAACATTTGTACTCCGAATTATTAATTCAGTCGGGTTTAGTGTGTGATTGTTGATAAAATGTATGATTCATTTATCAGTGTGGTAAACTATCTATCGTAATTGATATTATCATGTAGCAGTAAATAAATCCCTAAAATAAATAGCTCTGTAAGTTTTCGACATTGGATGCTGGCCATATGTTTTAGTGAACTCATCTAGCTGAAGGCGTTCCGTCACCAGATCACGTGTGGTAACGCTGTGCTCAACATCTATCGCAATCGCTAGCCAGATAAGACCAGAGAATTCCGATATATTGGTTATCACCAAATACACTCTTCCGATCTCCTCAATTCTGTCTTTTGATTTTTCACGGTGGGAACAAATTATATTAGAATGTGTTACTGGTAGAAGCGTTGTCAAACAGTGAATACCTGTATCATCCTCAATCACATTTATGTATACATTTTTCTCTATATAATTTGGGGTTACATCCACCAAATTTTTTGGTATGATAATCATTTGAAAGTGATTTTCCACCAAGTGTTTCAAAATTATGCAACAAAAGACCTGTCTTTAAACAAAGAGAATAAGGAAAGCTCATTCAAGAAAGACTGAAGATCGTAAAGTGTGGCTAATAGAGATCTGAATATTGATTAGAATAAAAGAAAGAAGAAACAAGTAAATGAATATACTGCCTAATAAAATGCTCTGAAGACGTTTTCAATATGTTCTTTCTGCTTCACCTGTCCCACAATTTTATTTTCTATGCAGGTACAGAAGACGATGTTTCGTTCGTTTATGGTCATCACTTTACTGTTAGGTATGATATTTCTGTAGTGACTCACTTTTAACACGAGAACACGACTGGTTCAATGAAAACAATTATTATTATAACCAACTGTACCAGTGCTTGTTTTAATATGCTTTTTTAACTATGCTAATTAAGGCCATTTTGTGTTTCCATTACCTCTCGTCATTGTTCCGCGGTTTTGGGTTTTGTTCAAACGTACTCCACCTCCCTTCTTTCGCTTGTACCATTTATTGGCACGATCTTGGTATTCGTTTGATACCACGAGATCACCAACGAAATAAATCTGGTTACGTACAACCTACGCCTCCTGATTTCTTTGGCACGTGTTTCTTGGTAGTGGTGTTCATAGTCAATTAGGACTCGACGCAACGCTACATTTCCATTCTCAATTGTTTAACGCAACTTTGAGAGTCTTTCAGTACTTTCCCCTTTGATTACTGTAACTATTAACTACAGGCATATCTTCATATTCAGTCTGCAAGACTTTCTAGGCCCAATCAGATGCACCTAACACTATTAGTTCCTTGATCAGTATGTCTGTTGAGGAGTCTAAGAATTCATAGAATGTGATGTTAAAAAAGATGAACGCTCCTTACTTTCTTATCATGCCCCTCTTTTAAGATGAAATAAGTTCATTCTTTGGAATAGCCCTTTGGTTTATCAACGAAGTAGTAAACAGTAAACGAATGGTAAAGGTTCTACTAAATCTAGACGAACATGGTTGAAACAAGCACTGGGAGTTCTGAATGAGCCTAAGGGATATTTGTTTTGTCTAATCACCTTAGATTTCTGGCAGCTTACATAGGAGCGTGCCTACTCACTCACGTCTTTACTCATACCAGGCCAGAAAAACCGTTTTGATGGTTGCATGAACACTTGGATGAGAATGGTTGTGCAACTCATTGATGTCTCGGCGCAACTGGAAGATCTCTACCGGGAGATGTGTCGCATAATAAGGTTTCTTTACAGTTTTAGGGTTGTTGAAGGTAACTGGTAGTGAAGATCTGTCTTCCTTTTGAAGCTGGACGAGTTCAAGAAGGTTGACGTCTTGGGAACCGTTCAAGGAAGTCATACGGGACATAAAGCCTGGAACGGCATTGTTTATTCAAGAAATGTTTATCCGGAGGAAACTGCGAAATGTACTCTGGTTGTCAAGACTCTCGAGTGGAATGCTCTCATAGTTGTTTGGAAACAAGGTCCAGACGCTAGAGATAAGATTCTCTCTCCGGACTTGCTATTACGCAGTCATCAACATACATATGTACGAATTCGAGGCCACACAAGACATCATCGATCAACCTTTGGCAGATCTGGGCAGCATTTCTTAAACCGAAAGGCATGAACAAAAACTCTTGGAGACCGAAAAGAGTAATGATAGCGGTCAGTTTTTCATTTGATGTCTGTAAGTTTAAAACTAGTTCGTGCATCCGGTTGTTAGAATTCGCCGGAAGAACGCAAGCTTTCGTAGTCACATCAGTTATGCTTATGGTTGCCGTCAACGGATGCTGGCCGGGAAGTTCCCTGGAAAGTTTTTCATGTCGGTCGGTCTGTATTTTGGAAAATTACAGGGTTTTCTGCTATTTTGAGATTTTCTGTGCTGATTATTATGATACCAGCACTAGTCGGGGTTATCACTCTCTTGTGATCTGAAGACAGATTGTTTCCGTGAAGAACTCCTTCAAGGCGTTTGTGATCGTTTAATGTCATGACGAATACGAAGGTAGCGTGTCAGTGTATGACATAGTTCCGCAATGTCATTCTGTGTCGCTCGAGGTTTTTCTTTGACTGAAAAACTTTGAAGTTAGATTTGGTGATACCTAAAATGCGGTTGACAGATGCAGTCAGCTCATCCACGGCATTGTTTTGAAATGAGACAAGCACTACCTGCACCTGTTGAGTCAGCTTAAACAAGAAAATTTATTTAAACAGGACATCGTCGAAGGTCTTTTCACCAATCACTTCTCTCATTCATAACATGTCTGTTGATGAACCATGTTGCAGTTCGATGTTATTAAGCAATTGATCTAACCTCTGTCGATCGGTTAGAACCCTGCGTTTCAGGTTGAACCGTCTAAGAGTTTCGTATGATTCCGAAACATCACTAATAAAAATACTAGGTGTGACGTACATGTTGAATCCGCGCCATAGTGCCTCCACTACTGAGAAAAATTGTGCACGTGTATTGTTCACTTCGTGCCCATGGAAATTAACATTTGTGTAACAGATCCAGACTTCGATGTTGTCTGGCCAGCATGACATTAGCTGAAATGACAGTGGTGTCATAGACTTGATCTTCAGTACCTTTGGAGTTTGTTCTGTCATGGCGAATATGAAGTACAGGAATGAACGAGGGAAAGATGTCCAATAACACGAAAAATATTATATTGTATAAAATAAGGGTAAGGCAATGATATATGAAATTCCAGAAATGAACAGACTCATAGTTTACAAATTTGTGTACCAGATCACCTCGGCTCATCAACGAAGATGCCACAGGTATTCGTAGTTTGACAACACTTTAACTAGTAACACCCATAATTAAATCGAGATCAACGAATGAAACGAAAAGTCAGAAGCGAGGAGGTTCAAAGATATATTTGACAGGTCATCAATATGTCAAGAAGTGGCTAGCTAGCGATTGCAGGAGAGGTTGAACACGGCGTTCCCACTGGTGACCTAGTGAGGATGCGTTACCGAGTGCCTTCAGCTAGATGAGTATGTCGAAACTATTATGGTCAGCATCAAATGTCGAAGACTTACAGAGCTATTGATTCTGGGGATTTATTTTATGCTACAGGTGAATTGCTGACAAGTTTTCTGGGACAAACATTAAAACTTTAGAATTTTGTATTGTTTCAAATGACATTTGCCCGAATTATATAAATAATGTCCACTCAACCGAAATTCGAACGGTAGATGAAGTAGCTTGATCATGTTTAACAATTTTTGGGCCGTTAAAAATCGTAAATAACTCGAACCTTTAAATCTGAAAGCTCATGCATTGAGCGAGGTCTATTACCTTAGTAATAAAGATAGTCTAAAGGTGACCCAACCACAGTTTTACATTACTGGATCACAAGAGTGCGTCTTAAAAATTATTGTTTATACCAACACACAGGAGCAGAATTTCTGAAGACACTCCGAAACCTTACAAAAATAGAACCAGTTACTTGTCTATTGTTACTGGTTTTACTATCATATAACCAATGAACAGAACTGCTTATTTTAACAGATCTTTAAATCCGGCGAGAGACTTCTCTTACGAGAACTAACACAGGCCATCAAGCATTCTGTTATGCTGAAAATGAATCACGTATCTTGAATATTTATGGAAGTATTACTTCAATAAAAAGTAATAACTACATAGTTTAAGATAACTAGTCTTTAATTGTAATGAAATATGTTTGTCGTTCAATAAGATCGAAGTGTAAAGAAACGATCTAATTTCAGTTAGTTTACTACAAATATATGTTGGATACTGAATAACCTTCACTTTCAGTGCAAAATTGAATAATTTTGTCTTGTGCAATGATATGATGCGTTATGCACTTATGTAAAGTTAATGGCAATG